AGTTTCTTCCCATTGCATCTTGTCCTTTGACTGGACACCACTGAGAAGAGTCTGGCTTTGTGTTCTTTTCTCCTTTTCATCAGGTATTCACACAGAGTAAGATTTCCAACCTACCAGTCTTCTCTTTTCAAAGGTAAAACAATCCCCAGAAATTTCTGAGCCTTTTCAGATGATGGTGTTTTGGGCTCAGTCTTGATAGGGAATGAGGACTGGACTGACTAATTGGAAATGAATTTGGTGAAATGAAAAGTATACAAAACGAGGTGTTAAAAGTTGATTGTATATTCCAAACAACCCAGCACAGAGCAATTACAGATCTGCAAGTCAAATCAGTTGCACAAATAAGATTGAGAACCTGACTATGGAGATGCCTTATAACTCTTGCAAGTTAAAGAAAAAAATAGTTTTTCAACTCTTCTGTATGATAACAAGATGAATAGCCTTTCATAAAAGGAGGTTAGAAATAAAACTGCAATGAGATGTGGAAAAATACTCAGTTAAAGCTGTATCTTAGATCAGAATGGTTATGGATAAAGTTTGATCTAACTAGTTTGAATTTCAATAACGTTTTCTGTTGAGCTATAAGGGGCAGTTAGTTCAGATGAGAATTAGGGAATCATAACAATAAATACTTTCCAAGATGTGTATAGTCCTGGTTGTGAGGAGTGTACTGCAGAGGTGGTGTCAGAGTGGAGGATACTGCTGGGTTGTCCAGGATTCATCTTCGCAGTTGCTGTCTGAAAAGTAACCTTAGCATACAAAAAGGCAATGCATGCTGATTAAAATTGCTGATGGTACAAAATTTAAAGGCACTTGTTCCATTTGAGAGGCAGTTACTGAAGAACTATACAACCCTGAGGACTGGAATTACTGAAAAAAACAATGTGAAGTCCAGTTTGTCATAAGTATGAAAGATTACAAAGAACCTTTGCAATGGGCTGGGAGTTCATTAGCTGGAAATGCAGAGAATTAGGAAGAGGTGATTTGGTCTAGTTGGTTGCAGCGGAGTTTGAGCCATGAGGCCAAACTGAACAAATAGGATCTGGGAATGTATTGCACTATTTTTATTCTGCAGAAGTGGGCAACAGTGTTGTTAGGTACTGAGAAGAGTTAATTTTAAATGCAGTACGTTTTTCTGGCTGATTAAGGTCAAAAGTAATGAATCCAATGTGGTACAAGTACAGAGAGATTACTCAAATTATTGGATGAATGGTGGCTTTGCTTATGGTGAAAAGAACTTTGTTCTGCATGGCTGAACAAGCTGGAGATTGAGACAAGATGGTTGCAGTTTGTGTTCAGAAGTGTGAAAAACTATTCGAAATAAAAAGCAAACTAATTCAAATGTCTATGGAAATTGTAAATTCTGGAATCATTCTTTCTGAACGTTCCAGAATTTGGTTTTGATTTGCCACATTGTGTATTCTGTGTCCCGCTCGGCAGGAAATGTTGTAGTGACAGAGATCTAGCTCCTTATCAAGGTAGTTAGCGTTACTCTTTTGCAGCAGGTGTTGATGCCCTATTCTAGCGATATTTAGTGTTCTCAGTTACATGAAGGCTCTTTCAGCAGTTCCCTTTGTTTTAATATTAGCAGGAATAAGCTATATGCTTAGTGAAAGCTTGCAAAGAGTAGAGTCGGCAAAATTGTAGTGACAGTATTTATGGAAGACATTTTCTCTATGCAGTCATGTAGAGAGACTATTTATAAAGCTCTTTGTTTATTTTTGCTCTGCTGAAAGTATTGACAAAAACAAACAAGTAAATTTAGGGAGAATACTTTCCAGATGAGATCTTGGACAAATGAATGGGAATTCGTGGCCACTCATGTACCTTCAAATTCAAGCAGTTCATTATGTATTGGAGGCCTAATCTCTCCATTTTTGAAATAGATAAGGTCATTAAAGAGAGACTAACTGGTAGTTTTGCAAAAACACAAGTTGCTAGCGTTTTAAGGATCTCACTTCAAACAGTTGGTCTCCTGAGAAGAAAAGTGAGACCTTCTTAGAGAGCAAGAGTGTGTTGTTTTGTTTGTTTGTTTGTTTTTTTAAACAACTACTACTTTGTGTTGCCAGAACAAAATTCATGAATGGCAACTGTTAAATTTTAGAACAAATAAATGAATGTAGAAAAGTTCTGAAGTGGGAAGAAAAAGTTTGAGTTTTTTAAAAAATATTTAGTAATTTCAGAAGGAACTTGGAAAATAAACTATTATTAATAATTATTTTAATCCTATTAATTCCAGCTATTATTGTACAATTAACATTTCCAAACAGCTGCAAAATTTTAATCATAAAAATTGAACAGCAGCAATTGTTCCTTGCTTCTTGGATCCTTCAGGAGCAGACACGTTCCTTGCTTTTCTGGGGTTATTAGTGTTCTTTTACAGTTGTATTATAAAACTGTCAGCCTAATACCAGAATCCCAAGAGCCTGACACTGTAAAAATGTGTCTGTGAGATTTCTGCAAGTCTTGGAAGGTTATGGTGTCCTGAAATAATGGGCTTTAATGTAAGATTGCAACAGATAATTGAGGGGAAAAGGGAAAATAAGGGATGAATACATACAGCCAACAGAATTCAAAGAGCTTCTGGCAAGTAGCCCTTCCATTTTTCTCCATATGAACAACTGCAACACACTGCAACTTTGAGCTGTGCTGGCTTTTTGTCTCTGGAGGTGAAACATGGAATTTTTTAGGCAGCTGTGACTGTGATTGGTTTGTGACTTACCCGGATGCCTTTGTAATGATGTAATGCTCTGATTCCTGTGGCCAGTGAAGGGAACTAGAAGGCTTGTGTGGATGGGTTAGGCATTCACAGCTCTCTACAGCACATCATCTCAAATTCCAACGCAGTATGTATGAAATCATAGACTGATAGTTGATTTTCCACAAGGGAAAGTGTCTGATGCAGGTGTTAGAGTTATTTTTATTAATGAAGAATTCTGAGAGAAGACTGGTTTAAATATTGACAACAGAGCGTTCTATGAGGCATGAGAAGAATCAGAACAGCACGATTTACTTAGTAGTTTTGTGGTCTCTTAGAAATTATGTCCCTGGAGGTGTTAGTAGGGGCTACTGTGTAGCTGAAGGATGACTACACTTGCTGGAAAACATGAAGTGCCCTACTCTGGTTTCCAAATGGGAGACGTATTATGTATGTAATATATGATAGTGTGTAATAATATGTAAATCTCATTACATCGACTTTAAAGGAGAAACAAGGGATTTGGATCTTTTGCTGTTCCTTTTAATGGCAAAAGAGTGATAACTCCCCATATCCGTCTGTTTGTTCCCTGAAACTGACTTTGGATAGAAATATGGATCAATAAGATGTAAAGCAGGGGGAGCTTCTTAGGGCTGGTGAAGTCTTGCAGTACACTTAGAGTGGCTTTTCTTTGGGCTTATCTCACCATTGATCCGTTCCTGGGATGATTATCTGAAAGATAGGATGTCTCATAGCTTACTTTAAGGTATTAGAAGTAGTAGTGTACTCCCAGTTTGTGCCACACGATGATAAAATCGTGTGTGACAAACACAGTGCTCTAAGCTCAGTCAGTCCCAGCTACCTGGTCCTCAAAACACCTGATTCAGCTGTGAAACTCAGATATCTCCAGACAAACTAAAATGTGTTCTAGACTATTTTCCTCTCGTGGCTGCATGGGTTAATTAGGTAACCTTTGGGACGTGAGAGTGGAAAGAGGCAGACGTATAGATGGGAGGTGCTTCATTAGCCAAATTTAATTATTAAAGAAAATGTTGGCTCAGTGTTTCTCCGTGGTAACCTAGAAATTGTCATTCCCTTCCTTATGTTTCTACAAAGTTTGACCTAGTATAAATGGTGGTTTTATGCTTATTTAGGCATTACTGAATATCAATGATGTATTTTCACTTAGCGTCACCCTTTATAAAAAATAACAAGCTTTTGAAGTATTTATTTCTTAAGGAAAAGATTCTAAGTAATTCTATCCTGTTTTTCTTCATTTCATGACATTCCCTCTCCTCTATGACTTTTGCAGTTTAATCATAGAACGGTTTGGATTGAAAGGGACCTTTAAAGGTCATCTAGTCCAATCCCCTGTGGTTGTAATTTATATGTTTTTTTGTCAGCTAAGAAGGCTCCTTGTGCTAAAATTTAGAAGGTATACCATGGAACTTATCATCTGTGCACTGAAAGTGAATAGTCTAAGAGCATCTGTAGTAAGCTGAATACTTGACAAGAGAGAAAACCCAATTATGGCAGAATGGTCCACCTGGGTCTTATATTTGCATGTTTAGCTGAGTGCTCATAGCTATTATGTGACTGTTCAAATCAAGGAAGCTGGGAACAGGATGTTTTTTAGAAGTGAATGAGTTTGCACAACTGAGAAAAGAAGAAAAAGATAAATAAATCCTGCTTGAGAAAAACCTTGGGGTCAGGGATAAGGAGGGAAGCATGGCAATTCATGCAAGTGATCCTTCATAGGAGAAAGTTGAAGAGGGTTGTTTGGCGCATCAAACAAAACGAAATAGTGCTCTGTGCACTGAACAGGGTGAATGAAATCCTTAAGACGATGAGATATGTGAGAAATACAAAAGAGAAGGACACTGGGATTTGTGAAAGAACCAATTTCAAGAGAAAAGGTTTGGCATAAGGTTTATCTTTATTAGTAGTGGTGTTTGATCGATTTGCTTTTAATAGAAAACAAATCTTTGTAAGGATCTTTCATTCTGGGTGCTCTTTATTGGCGAAGAGGAAGAAATTGAGGTAGCAGCACTTTCTGTTGCCAGATAGGATAAAATCCTGACATAAGGACAGTGTTAAATTTGTAGTTCATATACAGAGAAGCACAAACCTTGCAGTGTGTGCATATAAGGGATACAGGAACAATGTGATAATTATGGAGATAGGAAAAAAGTATCTAGATAAATAGGAATGTATGGAATTTGAAGTGTTTGTTGCCTTCCAAAATATCACATTTTGTTTTAGTATTACAAATACTGAGTAACTTTTCTCTTACTTTTAACAGACTCTGAAGGCAGATCCAGAAGAACTGTTTACAAAACTGGAGAAAATTGGTAAGGGCTCTTTTGGTGAAGTTTTTAAAGGAATTGACAATCGGACTCAGAAAGTTGTTGCTATAAAAATTATTGACCTAGAAGAAGCAGAAGATGAAATAGAAGACATCCAACAAGAAATCACAGTGCTGAGTCAATGTGACAGTCCATATGTAACTAAATATTATGGATCCTATTTAAAGGTAAGATACAGATGAAGGTGATTTTGTTTTGTAAGTACTTCTTTTTGTGCCTGTTTTCATTGACAAGGTTTCAATCAGACTTCAGTTGAAGAAAAACATATTTTTGTCCTTTCAATTCTAAAGAAAAAATGACAGAACTTAATAGAAAAAATTGCACGTTTCTTGATATTTCTGTGCAAAAAAACTTCAAATAACATGAGTTAGTTAAGCTCTGATTCACTTAATTTTAGGAGAATGTAACTCTAGTAATTATTTAAATTCTGAAAATTAACTCTGCATTTGAATTGTCAAAATATTAAAAGCAATGTAGTATCTGCTGTTCTGTGAAGCTTGAAATTTTTTGTCAAGTTTTGATCATTAGGGATCAAGCCTAAGCTATTAGGTTGTTTTTCTAAGGGGACTAAACCTAGCCTTGATCCGATTTGAAAATTAAAATCTAAAAGTTAATTTATTTGCACATTAGCCATAAATGAAGTGATGGAAGGGGTTTCCATTGACTGCCTTCTGAATCTGTTTCCCTTCCGTCCTCCTGCCATATTATTAATATCAGGGTTCAGTTATAAGTGAGACAGATAGTTTTGTTTGTTTGCTTTTTTGTTTTGGTTTTCTGTTTTTGTTTTTAATTGGATGGGTCTAGTGATTTATTATGTCTAGAAGGTAGTGAAAATATCTGGAAGCTTTTGGTACTGCTTTATTTCTTTGGGCAGACTTTGTTCCCATCTGGATAGCTCTTTCTTTTATGACAGTGAGATGGCAATCTAGTTAAGAGAGCTTGTTGTCTTGGCAGGATTTGAAGTTAGAAATAGGCAGAAAATGCTTTAATTTTCAGTCTGCTTTTGCTTTTGTGGAAACATTCTATTTATCAGCAAAAACATGAAGGTTCTGAAAGGGGGATGCTGTTTTATCTCTGTATTTCTGAGATTACCAGTCAGTTTCCAAAGAAAAAAGGACTTTTTCTGAATCCAGGAGATGCATTACTTAAGAGAGAGACAGTTTTTTCCTTTCTTCTTTGTCCTCTGAACTGGTTTGCTTGGATATCTTATCAGTGAGGGGCTTTGTAAATGGTTTTTAGACATAATAACCTGTTGCTGAAACTGAATTTAGAAGTTATGTATAGTTTAGATCTCAAGCATAGGAAGGCACTTAATTGAGCACAGTAAACTGAATAAATTTTTCCTCGTGGCTTCTATTACTATTCTTGCAGTTTCTCAGTCAGGGATTGATAGTTAAGTGAAATATGGCAAAAAGGCAGAAGTGATGTTTCTCTCCTGGACTGTCTCTCTGCTTCAAATCTGTTCATTTTAGCCGAAGAAAGTAAGATCAGAGAATGGTTAAGGTTGGAAGGGACCACTGGTGAGGTCATCTTGTCCACCAAACCAGTGTGCAGCTGGCCAATAATTAAACACTCGAGAGACATCGATTATTTATTTCAGAGTTGCGCACTTTATTTCTGGGTGCTCTGTGGTATTCCACAAATCAAGCACACCATCTGTCAAAACATTTTACTATTTATACATTTTAGCAAATAAAGGAGTTAGTGTTCATTTGCTACAAGTTACATAGTTCTCTTATTAAATCATTTTTCTACTTTCTATTGGTTAAAAAGTTGCATCTCATGCTAATTAGGACACATGCAGAATCTTTGTCTTCTTTTGTATTGGTGGGTTTCTTGGGTCAGCGATCACGGTCTCTCGCTGCCAGAATTACCTTTACCCAGCTGGAGCTGATTTCAGCACAGTTGCTGAGTTGGGTCTGTTAGTTTCTTCCTTGGGAGTTCTGCTAGATGTCTTTGTGGCCTGCAAATTCTGTATTCTTTGTGTCTATTAGTGGTACATCCTTCTTCCCAAGCTGTGTTAACCTCCTTCTAGGTCTGAGATTACTGAAGCGTGTCAAACCCTATACCTCAACTAGACAATTCTACCAAGTAATTTGTTTTTCTAACACATGGGCATCACTTAGAGCTTGCTTATTAGCTGCTATCCATTTCACAGGTTAAATCTCCCTTCTTGTTGATTAGGCTTCAGAGTATACCCATAAGCTCTCAGCTCTGTCATATCCACCCCAAGACAGAACTCAGTACATTCCGAGTGTTGCCTCACGTAGAGGCAACTCCACTACTGTGCTTTCCTGGTCTGTCTGTCCTAAATAGCATGCAGCCCTTCCCTGCGACATTCAGCTGTGTGAGCTGTCCCATCATGTCTTGGTAAGCTCAGTGAGATCAAAGACTTGTGACTGCACACACGTCTCAAATTCCCCATTTGTTCCCCATATTGTGTGCACTGGTGTACAGGCACTTTATAGACGTATTTGAATGTGTCAATATCCCGAGAGGGCTGCAAGGAGATGCCCCATAGTCCTCTTCCCTTTCCTCACTTTTCCTAGCTTAAAGCTCAGTTTACCAGGTTGACCCTTCTGCCAACAAAGGCTTGTGTGCCCCGTTTCATGAGGTGGATTCTGTCTCTCCTAATGAGCAAACAGGGTCCCAAACCAAAATGTTGTTGCCAACACCAGCGACACAGCCAGCTGTTTACTTTGTAAATCCAGCTAATTCTCTCATTGTTTACCCTAACTGGCATGACCAAGGAGAAGACTACCTGGGCCTCCAGACCCTTGACCACCGTCTCCAGAGCCCTGAAATTGAGTTTGATGGTTCCTAGTTACCCTTGGTGTCATTTGTGCCCACATGAAAGACCAGCAAGGAGTAAAAGTCACCTCTTACAGGATAAGTGAAATAGAATTTAAGAAAAAGTCTGATGGGGATGCCACTTAGTAGTTTTTAAAAGGTACAATAACAGTGGGTTGAAAAAGAGAATCCAGTGTTTGAATACGAACTAAGTGGATGTCAGCATTTTGTGAAGGTCATATGGCAATGGTTGCTTTTCCTAATTGAGGGTGGGAGAAGGCTGTAGGGCTCTGAACCCTGAATGGATTTGGCTGGATGGAAGTGTCATTAGTGACATTTGTGCTTATTATTGTGAGGGGGACCCTCTGAAAATACTTATAATCTTCCACATTTCATCCTCTGCCAAGTGCAGAACCCTATGAATTTTTCAACTTACATCAACTTTCTATAACAGTGTCTATGTATGACTCATTTACTTTGGAAATAAAATACAGCTCTCTTTACAGGTAGAAGAGTGTACAACAACTCATGTTTATTCATTGCTTTAGTTCTTTATGAATGTATGTTGTTTGCAAGACACGTGGTACTACAGAACTTTTGGTCTTCAAAACAAAAACCTCATTTCTTTATGCTGTTAAAAATTATTATGTGGTGGTTGTTAGGTGATGCTGAAGTGGTAGAATGCAAAGGAAACATTTTACAGTTGTAAGAGTCAGGGCTTGTTATTGGATAGCAACAATGTGTCATCACATATATATATATATACACACACACATACACTTAAAAAGGACCATATTCATATTGAAATGAATTGGTTAATATTTTTGATTAGAAATCTAGGTTTATTTGCTGCAAGTCTCTGATGTATTTGAAAGCCAGGACTGTCATATGTAGTTCTAAGGGTCTGACCGTCTTTTAACTCTGTTTCTAACAGTGTAATAATCCATCACTGAGAATCTTCAACACATTAACCTTCCATGTCTTAAGTGATTAGGAGACATTATTTCTTCTGTGATTGGACAGTTTAGCACTAATTACAGGAAAGATAATAATGTTTTCTCACAGAATAAACTTCTTTGAAGTAAGCAAGTATGAGAACAGTAGGATCTTAGGTTATATTGCCAGCCACTTCACCAATTATTGTTCTCTAAAGTCTGTGCAGCTTAATGCATACTGACCATGTGTCTGGTGGATGTTGGAAAGAAAGAAGTACTGTTCGTAGAGAACTCTTAATTTGGCTTTTCTATACTGTGTTTGGGCGACAAATTGAAACTGTTGTTGGAACTGTTCCCTCTCATTTTTTTTCCTTCTGGCTCTGGATCAGTCTTTGTTTCCCCATGTGTCCTGTGTATCGTTTTGTGAGCTGAAGAGGTGTCATTTATTATGTAGTAACCTTTTTTTTTCCAAGTACTCCCCTGGCAGACAAGTTTCAAGATATTGGGAAAGGAAATTTTCTGTCTTATTTGGGACACTGCATACTTGATGATTAGTTCTTTATGTCCCTTTCTAAAACAAGTTTCAGTAATTGCAGAATACCTGATCTGACATCCCTTAAAATATTTGACAGATTTTAAGAGGCATTCTGTATTTTCAGCAAAGGTGGTTAACAGATATTGCCATGAAGAGTTTTATAGGTAACCAGAATGTTTTGGGCTTGGGTTTTTATGTTTATTTTTTTTTGACACCTGAATCATCTTTGAGAAATCTTTATATTGTTCCTCATTCTCTGCTATTCCACACCTTCTTCCATTAAGCTATGTCATTATACATGCCAGTGTGTTCAGGAACCTGTTGCTTGAAATTTTAGGAAGCTTACTTAATACCACTGTATTTGCCTGATATACATGGAAGTACAACTTGAAATAAGTATTAAAATTCAGTGAGTTAATGAAAGCTACTTATTTCTAGAAATTAAAAAAAAAACCACAAAAAAACAACTGTTTCATTTCTAGAGCTTTCTAGAGTAGGGTGATATACCCCAAAGGCTGATTAAATTTTCTAATTCTACAATTTTTTTATATCCTAATTTCCTATTTTCAGAAATATGTTTGCTTTATAGCAATTTTTTGTTCATATTCAGAGAATAAGCTATATGGACCTGTTTGTATGAAGTATTACTACTTTAGCACAGTAAATATTAAATAAAAAGCAGCTTATTGCTCATATAGAGCAAGTCTTGTGTTCCCTCTAGACTGTGTTCTTTGCATCTGTTATTGGAGTTTTGTGTGTAGTTGCTGTGGTCAGTTCATTCAAATAGAGCAAAAGCAGTACTGAAGTGGGTACCAGTCATCCTGGATATAAATTTACTTGTGACTCATCTTTTTGTCAGAAATCCAAAGATGTTTATATAAAACAGAAATGGAAATGCTCTTTTCTT